TATTGCTACATGCATAATTTGTTATAATACCTGTTTCTCTAAGTCTTCAGAAATGTTTTCTACGTATCTTCTTCCAACACTACTGAAGGACTACATATTCATTTGTGTCTTATTGCTTCATGGATTATTTTAGTTCTATGCTGGAAGGGAAACAGTTTTCCAAAGGCTCTTTTATTAATCAGTAAACTTCTAAACATTTGTTATTAAGTTTAGTGGCATGTCATTAAATGTCAGATTGAGTAACTCTTGACTTTGAAAACTTCTGAAAAAACCATAAAAGGCTGTCCTTATGTTTTGGATACTTAGTTTTTTAATGTCTCCCTAATCATGAGCAAACCTTGAGGCACAATGCAGATAAGGATTAGATAAGGATCTTCATTAACAATAATAACCAAAAAATCCACATTTTAAATTATTTCATCATGACTTAAAAAAATTTTTTTTTATTGCGGTATAATCAGTTTACAATGTTGCATCAATTTCTGGTATACAGCACAATGTCATACATGGGTATACATATATTCATTTTCATATTCTTTTTCACCATGAGCTACTGCAAGATATCAAATATAGTTCCCTGTGCTACACAGTATAAACTTGTTTATCTATTTTATATAGACCAGTCAGTATCTGCAAATCTTGAACTCCCAGTTTATCCCTTCCCACCCCGCTCCTCCTGGCAACCACAAGTTTGTATGTCTGTGAGTCTGTTTCTGTTTTATATATAAGTTCATTTGTCTTTTTTTTTTTTTTAGATTCCACATATGAGGGATATCATTTTTCTTCCTCTTTCTGGCTTACTTCACTGAGAATGACATTCTCCAGGGACATCCATGTTGCTGAAAATGGTATTATTTTGTCATTTTTTATGGCTGAATAGTATTCCATTGTATAAATATACCACATCTTCTTTATGCAGTCATCTCTCAAAGGACATTTAGGTTGCTTCCATGTCTTGGCTGCTGTAAATAGTGCTGCTATGAACATTGGGGTGCAGTTGTCTTTTTGAATTAAGATTCCCTCTGGATATATGCCCAGCAGTGGGATTGCTGGGTCATATAGTAGGTCTGTTTTTAATCTTTTCAGGAATCTCCATGCTGCTTTCCATAATAGCTGCACCAAACTGTATTCCCACCAACAGTGCAGAAGAGTTCCCTTTTCTCCACACCCTCTTCACCATTTCATTTCATCATGACTTTGAATCTGGGAGGAGGTGACTTTTGTTAGATCTGACTCCATCTTGTTTAATAATATGGCTGCCAAAAAGCTTATTCACGAAGATAAGTGTCACAGCTAAGATTTTCTTTTGTGTCCAATTTTGCTTGCATTTTAAATTTTATTTGCTATTTCTTTGTGGGAATTTTTTTGAGGGGGGTAATTAAGTTTATTTATTTATTCATTTATTTATTTAACGGAGGTACTGGGGATAGAACCCGGACGTTGTGCATAGTAAGCACACGCTCCATCACTGAGATGTACCCTCCCTCTTTTTGTGGGAATGTTTTGAGGGACTTGCCCATTTCATGCAAGTCAGTTTAGTTAAAACTTAAGGCAGCCTAGGTAACTTGCAATGCCCCACAGTGAAGGAATGGAAAGGGGGACCCTTTGTTCTGGGGGGCTGTAATTCCCACTTCCATGTCCACGGACACCATAACGAATCCTAATGTCCAACATCCACGGGCTATAGCCTGTGACGGCCCGTTGTCATTCCTTTTTATTATATGTCAGTAAGGACTAGCGTCTTTTTAAGATTATTTTTAAACAGGTAGACGTTTTAGTATTTTCTTCCCAAACCACTACTGTTATTTCCTCTGCTGGATTGCCTTGTGTTCCCTTGAAGCACACACACCCTACTTTGGAGTAACTATTCTGATGTTTGGTTGAGTGAGAAACATGCCAATCCTTTGAGAGAGTTCCATCCACTGGAGGCCTCAGACCCATATCCTCTCCAGCACTAAAATGTGTCATTTATTGTTTGGTGTTATTTTCATTTTAGGTATATTTGTCTTTCCTTTTCATCTGAATCAAAAGCAACTTGCAGGCACGGCATACTTCTTACTCTTCTCTTTTATTCCTCACATTCCCTAGCCCAATACTCTGTCTAGAAGATATGTAATTCATATGTTCTTCTGTGCTAAATCGGTTTTAACTTCTCATATGCTATGTTGTCTTGTTGCCCCAGATTGCAATTTCCATAAGGGAACCTGTTCTTTGGACTCCCCACCTCTGCCACATAACTTACATGAACTTTTGACAAATAGGTGTTGACTAAAACCACATAACCAAATAGATGTGGCCAATAATCTCATTGTACACAGAAATTAAGCCCATATGGATCAGGGCTCTAACGGAGTGCTGAACAGTACAAATTAGTTTTAGACAGTACAAATGACCTCTACTATTCCCATGAATATTTCACTCAATTAACAGATGTATCATCAAGAGAAAAATATGTACCTCTTCCCACAAAGAGTACGTGTGCATTTGAGCAACGGTATCAAAATAATAATTAAACAATAAAAGGCAAATTCTATGAGGAAATATTTGTTTATTATTTCATTCACTTAATGAAGTCATGTTTTTAGTGTGCTCTCCATGTGCTACACATTTGTAGATACTGACAGGCATATATAGAATAGATAAGCAAGATTATACTGTATAGCACAGGGAAACATATACAAGATCTTGTGGTAGCTCATGGTGAAAACGAATGTGACAATGAATATATGTATGTTTACGTATAACTGAAAAATTGTGCTCTGCACTGCAAATTGACACAACACTGTAAACTGACCATAACTCAATAAAATAAAATTTTAAAAATTATAAATGTGGTATAATAAAACAGGAAGCAGAGGACACAGTAAAAACATACCAAAGAGAACATGTTATATCATCATCATGCGATAATTCATGTTGAATAGAGGCTTAAAGAAGCTGTTGTCCACTCACATAGAACTCCTTACTCTTGTTTCGTAAACTCAGTGTGCTTGTAAATTATTTGTTCAGTATTGGCCAGTTTACCTCACCAGACTACAAGCTCCACTGGGGCCCAGAGCAGGTTTGAAATATTACTGCTCAACCCCTAGGGTGTATTGCAATGCTGGCATTTAATCAAGTATTCAGTAAGCACATGTTGACTGATCAGATTGATGTCTAGGGAGAAAACACCAGAAGTTGCACATATTTTAAAATTTATAAAAAGGGACTCTTCTGTAGTTCACTCTTATACAGTGCTGTATGTCAATCACATCTCAATAACTGAAAGAAAAAAAGTAGAGAGAATTATAAAACTGAAGATTAAGCTATTGTAATTGAGGAAAATTTGAGAAAGATAAGTTATTCAAGAAAATAAGTCTTTACGGGTAAATTTAAAAGAATAATTTAAAAGATAAATATCTGTTGGATTTTGCCAGAGGCTGACAGGTTCAAGAATTCAGTGACATGTATAGAATCCATATGAGGAGCCAGACATTGTGCTGGGTGCTGAGATGCAGGAGAGGATAAGATAAACTTGGTCTCTGTCCACATGGAATTTACAGAAATCCAGAAGGTTCTAAAAGGCTCAAAGATTATTTTCCAAACATGTAACATAAAACAAAAACTCTATTACCAAAGATAATTGCATATTTGATAATATAAGCAAATAATTAACAGATCTCTGGTTACATTTTGACAAGGGCAATTTCTGGTCCCAAGTGGTGTTCTGTGGTTTCCGGTATAATCCATGCTGTTTCCACACCCCAGGTCATTGTTCACATCATTGCTCCTTGCTGGGATTCTTTTCCACATAAGCCCATCTTTTACTTGTCGAAATCTACTGATCTTTTAAATTTCTTGAACACACACACAACTACCCATCTGACATCTGACACCCCCTCAGTCACCACATGCTTCGTGTAAATGCCCCATCATTGAGCTTACCATTTGGAAATCAAGATTTATTGGTCTGTCTCTTTTCTGAACCCTAAGTTTCTCTAGAACAGAGCCTAATTTTCACTGATTTTGTCCTTAATGCCCAGTACATAACAAGTGATCAATAAAAGTTTGCTACCTTGAACAGAAGCCTCTGTATTTTCTGTTTAGAAGCCTCTGTTTGCCTAATTTAAGAGCCAAGAGTTCACCCGACAGTCTCAATTTCTAGATTTATTTACAAGGTATCTACATTCTATGAGACATCAGGGAAGGTCATTAAATGGAAAGCATTCACAAACTTGACTATGTTCTCTTTCCTTCTAACCAGC